TTGAAACTGTCAACAACAAAAGAAATATAGTCAGGTATTATTATTATAATTATTATTATATGGCATGAGAACATACCAAATTGGACATGTAACAACCATCTCCAAGTAAACTAAAAATGAGAACATATTTCAAAAATCCAGATGGTTCACAAACATATTATTGAAGCCTCCAAGAATCGTCAAGATGAATCGGTTCAGAATTTAGTTATTGACTCAAGAATTCAAACTAGTAAAACAGATTTGAATATGAAGAACATTGATAAGACTTTAAAAGAAAACTATATTACATTTTGGAAACAGAATGTCAATCAAGAAAACACAAAACTAAGAACATATGCAAAATTCAAAAACACTTATAATTTTGAGTCATACTTAAATTGTCTTCCGAAAAAACATCAAGTCTGCATGTCACGCTTCCGAACAAGTAACCATTGTTTGGCTATTAAAGGAAGGCACACACAGCCAAAAACTCCCATTGAAAAAAGAATTTGTAATTTATGTTCCCAAAATAAAATAGAAGATGAAGTTCACTTCCTTTTAGAATGTGATCGGTGCAAATATATTAGACATGAATTGCTCACAGAAATTACATTAACTAATGCAGGAGATAAATTGAGTAATTTTATATTTTTGATGAGCAACAAGGACTCCAAGGCAATTAAATGTATGGGGACCTATCTACTTAAAGCCATGGAGTACAGAAAACTTTAACGTATCTATTTATATTGTATTGTAATTGTGTTGTGTATGGATATATTTATTGCTTTTTACCAAAAGAAATATTGTAATTTCTAAGGATGCAATAAAACTTGATTATGAAGTTATGAAGTTATATGAATGGGGAAAACAGCGTCAATTACAATGGCATATTTTTTATATTTTTTTTATATATTTTTTTATTAGACGCATAAAATCCTTAGGAAAGGATAAAAAGGGTCTTACAGAAAGAAATTTAAAAAAAACAACTACAATCTAAAAAGTAAAACAAAAAATAAAAACTTTTCTAAAAAAAATAAAACAAATCAAAAACAATAAAGACAATTTGCAGCCAATGGTAAATACAGAATATGGAATGAACACAAAATGTAGCCTAATACACTGATAGTTGTTGCTGTTTTGTTCCATAGCTGTTTTTTAAGAAGACAGCTAAGGCTGGTGCTAGAGTATGGTTTGCCATAATCAAAATGAATTTATTCTGACTATTTTCTTTATCAAAATTTGGAACTTTATTTTGTGCAGTCAGGAATAATTTGTCCCTATGGTGACTGTAAGCTGGACATTTCATTACAAAATGTTGCTCATCCTCAACTGATTATGTATTATGTATTATGCAATCTGAACATGGTTAAGACTACATGTATATTAAAAAAGTTAGCATTGACAAATAAGAGTGAGTTTTATGAATATTAAAATAATGCTCAAATGCACGTCTATCAGAAATATGATAGTAGCATATTCAAATTACATGTTATATCATTACAAACATTCAACAAATCAGTTTAGTTGTAATAACACATCATTATAATTTGAATTTTTCCGACAGTCCACATAGCATACCTGTATATTCTTGAGTGTGGAGCTTCTACAGTCTTCAGTGATTCCCATACAAACACATTGTAAACAACCAGTAGGATGTGATTCAGAGTTGTAGAATGTACCGGCTTTGCAGTTATCACACAACATTCCTTCAGTATTTACCTGAGATACACATAAACAGTTCATCATGAAATCATTCAGCAAGAGATATAAGACAATTAGTATGGTATAATGAATTACAGATTTTATCCTCAGACTACCAAAACACTACGCAATTGGCATCAGTTGGCAAGTTTTGCCATATCCCACCACTAGATGGTGTGTCACAATTGGCATCAGTTGGCAAGTTTTGCCATATCCCACCACTAGATGGTGTGTCACAATTGGCATCAGTTGGCAAGTTTTGCCATATCCCACCACTAGATGGTGTGTCACAATTGGCATCAGTTTGGCAAGTTTTGCCATATCCCACCACTAGATGGTGTGTCACAATTGGCATCAGTTGGCAAGTTTTGCCATATCCCACCACTAGATGGTGTGTCACAATTGGCATCA